TCAAAATGATGTGTTTGTTGTAACTCATACCAATGACAGTATGGACATCAGCGTATAATTTGTTAGTGTAATTTTTTACTTATATACGGCCAACACCACCTTGTTAAATACGCCTTGAGCTGATCGTTTGACACATTTACGGTCGGTGTTATGCAGAAATTTTGTTTGGCAAACTGCGTGCAATTGTTGTTGCAGCAAACTCGGAGAGAGCGAGTTTGGCGACTCTCACAGCAAACTAATTTTGTTTGGTCAAACTGCAGCAAATTCGGTGTTGCCATATACAAAAATTTTAAATTTTGCGCGTTAAGGTATTGGCCCAATGCGCGCTTGCTTTGCTTGCTTTGCTTACTTTAGTTTGCTTTGCTTTACTTTGAAGGAAGTGAAGTAAAGCTGCCACTAGGCCAACTTTCATACATTTTAGTAGATTTTAAAAATTGTTTGACAGTTCTCAAAGCCAAGCAAGCAAAGCAAGCGTGCATTGGGCCAATACCTTTATGTACATCTGAAATTCTCATTTCGTGTTGGCAATAGCCATGAAAACCGTAATGAACGTGCAACCCTGTGCCAAACTCGACATAACCACCTCCCATGAACGAAAGACACAAGATCACGCGGGACGGAAAGAACGAAAAAAGTTATTTTCTAGCTGCCGAAATCTCGACGCCATCTTTGCTGTAAGAAGTAAACAACAAAGAGAACGGAGAAAACCGCGAAATTTGTTGAACGCATGAAAAATCATTTTTATTATGCAAATTCTTCTAAAAATCATGCCGTTGTGTTAAATTATTCTTTATCTTATGTGTACACACATTGTCACAAGCGAAAATGAAGAAAATTGCAGTAAAAAGCCACCACCAAATTGTAAACAACGAAGAAATGTAAATAAACGGCTAATGTCAAAATCGTTCAACTTTTTTCCTTAATGCGATTCTAACGGGCTACTCTCCTGCCCGCGTGATCTTGTCTTTTTGGTTCATGACCACCTCCGAGCAAACTAAGCAGCCGCCATTTAATTTGGCAAACAAAAGTTTGTCTGCATAACACCGACCTACCAGAATTTACCAGCAAAAAATTCTCGGACTAAAACTGGTAACTTCTGACAGAGAGCGAACCGTATTTATTAGCTTTTTTGTCCTCTCAATAGTCAGAGAAACGAGTACGGGATCGATTTCCAGTAAAATCTGACTGATTCTGACTATAGGTTTGTTCGTCGAGCAAAAAATTTGTACGAATTTGTACGAATTATCACGATTTTTGCCCAAATCGCGTTCGTGCAGACCAAAAAATTATCCAACACTCAAAAATTGTGAGAGCAAAGTGACAGTTCTCTTGGAGAGAAGTTGCAAATTCTTGCTGGAAAAAATTTTGCCAGCAAGAATTTGCAAACACGAAAAACATGTGGTTGTGGCGCATGGTTGCATTTTTGTCTACAATAATTTGAATAAATTAGTTCGTTAAATTTAAAAATTTATAAACACGAGCGATTTTTTTATGAAAAAAGGAAGTAAATAATTGTTGATATAATTAATTTAGTTAATTCCAATGATATGAACTTATTTCGGCTGAAAAAAATAGTATTCGCAATCGGAATGCAATTGCAACCAGAGTCGATTTAAGAAACCCGACAGCTAAAAGAAACCCTGTAAGTTCTGACTAAATCCTGTAAACCGGACTGCTATTGGAACAGACTAATTTCTGTTGCAAACCTGGGTTGCCTTGTGCTCTTTTTTCACAAAAAAACTTTAGAAAACCGTAGTAGAAGCATAGTAAATTTCTTAAGAACTGCGTACTGCCTTAAGGAAGTTTGACTCAAGAAAATTTTTTAGACTGCTTTTACACAGTTCAAGTATTGAATTCAATTCTGCTCGCCTGTGGAAGAGAGGGGGTGAGAAGAAACGGGTGGAGTACACATGCGTCTGTACCGTCAAGTCGTTTCAACTTTCTTGCTTTGCTTTTGGCATTTTCGTTGCTTCCCATTTAAAGAACCAAAAACTTGAATTCAACAGAATTGAAACGTGTAAAAGCAAATAAAAAACACAAAAGAGAATGAGCAAGAATTGCTTTCGAGTACTTGAATCATGTAGATCAGGTGTTAGCCATTTCTTGTGCGTCATTTTATATGGAGTTTTTGCTTTTCTTGAGAGCTGCATACAGGCCTTAAGCGAAAATTATCTCCCAAAGAAAAGAAAAAGAAAAAAGTAAAAGGACAGGAAATTAGCCATCACTTGCAAAAACCGGAAGAAGACACACAAGACAGACTACAGGGTGTAGTCCTTTCAC